CGCCGCCCCACGCGCGGAGCGCCCCCCACGCGCGCAGCTCCGGCGGGAAACTGCCCGTGTCGTCTCCTGTCTCCCCAGCAATGCGGGGCTCCCCACGCTGCGAGCCGAGTCGCGGCGGGGTTAGCGAGGGGAGCGGACGAGGGAGGGTTTGTGAATCTTCCTGGTGCGTGGTAGGGAGAAACCAAAATAGAGCCCAACGGTCCCGTGGTGCCGCTTTAAAACCGACCGCAAGGCAGTGTCCCCCGAGGAGGCGGCTCCCCTTGGGAGGGAGGCTCTCCCCGAGAAAAAGCCAGGGACACGGTAAGTAGCTCAGAGCCAGAAAGGGCGAAAGAAGAGACCTAGAGCCCTCCCTAAAGCACCGAGGAACGCTCAAAAACACCCGCGCTCTCCCTCCCGCGCAGCGCGGGAGCGGGGAAGCGGCAGACACGGGCGGGGAGGCGCGTGGAGCGGCCGGCAATCCGCGGGGCCCGCCGCGAGGCCGACACGGGCGCAAAGCCCTCAGCCGAGGGATGCACCAAGTAGATAGATACATAGATAAACATAAATAAAAAAATACTCCCCACGCTGTGGAGGAAGGTGATACCTTGCTTAAAAAAATCTTTCCTATGTGTTCTTGTCGTCAGGTATAAATAAAAAGGTTTATTTTATTGTGGGGTGGTGGGTAGAAACCTTCATCTCCCCGGTTTTCATCCTCCTGCCCTGGGCGCTGGCGCCTCTGAGCGGAGCCCGGGCCCCCGGGCAGCGAGCGGAGCCGCGGAGGGCGCCTCCGCTCCTGGGCCGGGGCGAGCAGGGAGCCCCGCGGGCTTCTGCTCGCTCGTGCCCGCGGGACAACCCGGCAGCAGCTCTCGGCGTGGGCAGCAGGTGACGGACAGGCTGCTGTGCCCGTGTCCCCGGCTGCCCCTTCGGAGCCGGGCTTTTTACCGCATAAACGCTCCGGCAGATGAGATGTAAGATACCAAATGAGAGGCATTGTTCAGCTCTCAAAATTGTTCTAGCCATAGACAAAAGCGTCACGCCACAGAATTATTGCCGGCAAGGTCAGTGTTCCGGTGTTCCCTAGCAGACTGCAAGAAGCAGTTCCCGTTGACTGGAGAACTGGACTGTTTCGGGAGCACCAGCTGTGTTTTTTCTTCGGCAGAGCCCGTGACTTTTGGTCACAGACGGACACCAGAACAAGCAGAAGCCCGTCCAGGGCACACAGAGAAACCCGTCTGGCTGAGGAGAAATCGGTTCGGGAGCTTCCCCACCAACCCCGAGCCGCCCGCGCCACTCGTGGCGGCCTCACGTCGTGTCCCGGTGACGCTCATTCACCCAGGCACGGGGCGACCCGGGTAGTTTAATAAATACAGTGAGGGGTTGTTTGTGGAAACACCGCGCTCCGAGGCGGCCGCGCTGCGGGCGGAAGGAGGGAAGGGGCACCTGCGAGTTCCTGGGATGAGCCTTTCCCAGCGGGAAGCACCTTTCCCACCCTGCCTGCACCCTCTGCAGAACAGCTAGTATCGGGAGCTGGGTGAGCAGGTCCTAGCATGAAGCCTGATCTAAAAACTCGCCTTTGAAGAAAGGCGGCGTGGAAACAAAGAGAGTTTCGCGTGCGGCTCGTTCGTGTCGGGAGAACCCGCGTGGCCAGGTGTAGGATGCAGTGAAAATTGCAGCGTGTGTGGGGGGAAGGAGGGAGTGAGAGAGTTCCGCAAATCAATGCTGAAAAAAAAAAAAAAAAAAAAAAAAAGAAAAAAAAAAAACCCACCCCACATGCACGGAAAAAGAAAGAAAGAAAAAGAAGAAAAAAAAGAACACCTTACTAGGTCACTGCCCTATGGGACAAGTCTAATCCAGTTCCCTTTCCAGCACACTCCAGCATAGTTTGATATATTTATTGGTTTATGAATTTGTTTCATATTTGGTTTATGAATTGTTTTGGGGCGGGTTTTCTCTCCCCTCTCCCCCTAAAGAATAAGGTTGCCATTTCCTATGCAAGGGAAAAGAAAGTCTTCAGAGGCAGAGCAGATTCGCTGAACGTCGCTTTCTAGCCGAGGTCTTCAAAGGTAAATTTAGCAGATTAACCACGCAGGTCAACGCCACGAAAGAAACGCGTTTAAAGAAATAACGGCCTTGTATTTCCCGTGTATTCCCAGCATATTTCTATTTCGGCTCGGCAAAACCTCCCTCCACTCCGCACCCGCGAGGAGCAGCGGGTCCGACCGCGCGTGGACCTACTCGGTTAAAGACACCGCACTGAACCTAGAGCATCCCCGAGACGAGCAGAGGTTTCCCTTCCTGAGATGCGTAACCTTGGGGATGCTGAAACCGCGACTGTTTTTATGAGACCGGTAACTTTAGATCCATGCACTTGGGTACCCTGGTGAATTAAGAGTGTGATGTGAATTTTCATCCCTGCCCTAATCAAGGATTTACTGACATAAATACACACAGCAAAGGCACTCCGCGACCATTCAGAAGCAATTAATACGTTTTAACTGCTCTGGATTTTAACCTCTAAGCCTCGAGACACGCTCTGGGCACTTTATTCCTCCTCTTTTGCTAATGTTATTAGGATGTTCAGGGAAGTAGGAGAACGAGAAAGCAGAGCCTCTAACAAAACACAGGAAATAGTTAACAGACATTTGAATAGCAGCGCTCAGATATAAGCGATTCCGAATGTACCTCTTGAAAATAGTTATAGAAATACCCTGAACTTGGAGCAAGCGGCTATCAGCACAATTCGGACTTTTTTTTTTTTTTTTTGGTAACTGATGAATAATTTTAGGCTATGTTGCCGTCTTATTTCCAGGCGATATTTTGGGGGCACTTTCCTTGCTCAGGCACTCCCTTCAATTTTATTATTTTAGGCATAAATGTAACAAGATGATTTGTACTATTTTTTTCCCCAGTAGAGTCAGGGGTCAGTACCTTTTAGCCTTTATATTATTGGACAAACTCTTCCCAGCGATAGGAAGTCCAGCTACCTCACTGTTGCGTGGAGCAGCGAAAGAAAACAAACTAAATATAAAGAAACAGGGGGCGGGGAAAACCCTTATTTTACGGTCAGCGACCACTACCCTCAGACACATCGTCTTGCCTCACATATTTTCAAAGAACTCTGGTACACTGGACGTCACAATCGGGGTAGAATGTATACAGTATATAAAATATGTAACATTCATTGTCGGGGAAAAGGAAGAACTTTGAAGAAATTAAAAACTTTCTTTTTTTTTTTAAAGTGATTCCTACCCTCGCCCATGCCTTCACTGGCATCTTTCCGCGCTTCGCTTTTGCTTTCTGGCACAAAGTCGTTTCTTTGTCCGGTCCTGGCCCGTGCCGCGAGGCCGCCTCTCCCCTCACCTGCGCCGGGCTCCCTCGGGCAGGGCCGGCGCTGCGGCCTCCCGGGGGCGGCCGGGCGGCTCTGAGCCCCGTCACTCTTTCCCTGACGATCTCCCTCCCTCCGTGCCCGCCCGCGGCGCCGCTCCCCTCGCCCCGCCGCCTCAGGGGCAGGCGGCGCGGAGCTAACGCGGCGCGGAGCTACCGCGCCGCTCCCGCCGGGCCGCCTGCGCGGGGCGGCGGCGCCGCGGGCTCCCCCGGCGGCCGAGCGCTTTGTTCGGCTGCGGCCTTCCTGACCCCGTCCCCCGCTGCGCGTCCCGCGGGCTCCGCGGTGACTTGGCTCGCGGCTGGAGCCCCTTGCCCGCCCCCAACGGCCGCTCCCAACGGCCGCTCCCAACGGCCGCGGCAGCGCCCCCTTCCTCCCCGCCGCCCCACGCGCGCCGGTGCGCGGGAAGCCGCGTCGCCCCTCCCTCCCCCCCATGGCGAACGGGGACAGGGGGACACGCGTCGCTCTCTATTTACCCAAATCCGCCCCAATTAGCGTGTCCCCCCCTCCCCGCCCCATGCAGCGGGGCCCTGGGGAGGCTAATGAGGTGGTGAGAGGAGCCCGCACGAAACGGCCACCGGTGCTTGTGCCTCCCGCAACCCGCGATTTGGTTTTTAATTACTGTTATCTTTGTAACCGTTTGTTTTTTTTTTTTTTGGTGTTA